CTTCTTGACTTAATTCATTGAATGGTTATGATTTTTATTTTTGATGGCGTGACACTGCAAACCAGCCATACCTTGAAAACTAAGAGAGTAGCACCATTACCATAGCTACATCTTTGAATTTTGGCATCCACGCTATTGTTAATTGATAGCTGTCACAACAAGCTATCTGCTGACTAGTATCACGTGACCATATCGTGGGCTCAGGTTTAGAGCTCATCGAGGCTGCGTGTTTTTTGACCGCTGACCAGTTACTGGTTTTCCGATTGGATCGCGGGCTCAAGTCAGGTTATTTTTCGGGGGAGAAGGAGGTAGTATATACTCGCAAAGGCAAAATTTTAGCGCAAATAAACCCCTTGCGCGTGGTTGACTTTTCTTCTGACATATCCCTTGCACAATCGTCTCTTGGAAAGTCCCTGATATATTGCGTACGTAATTTCTACAAGCATTTCTGATCTCCAAGGGTAAGACCCTTGAACCCTCTGGATTAAACAGGAGTGACGAAATTTAATCTATTTATTTTTTTATGTATCCGCTTTAGTACAGGTTTCATTTTTTTCTTTTGTTTCTTTTGTTTCTTTTGTTTTTCTTTTTTGCTCAGTCAACCAATCGTGTCACATATTTCCTAATTATCACTTAAAATTTTGTAACCGTTTTATCCATATCTCCTTAGCTTCAGTGTAGCCCCTGAAGAAGGTTAGTCCTGTCTAACCGAAATATTGGGCATTAAATTTACCCTTTTCAGCCGTCCGGTCAGCCTTTCAATTGGTTTTGTAGTTTGTTAAAATTTAGCTAGAAAAAATGGCAAAACCACACGCTGAACAATTATATGCTCACAATTGATCATTTTTTGAGTTTCTGATCCAAGAAAAAAATATTCTATTTTTCCTTTATAGTCAGTTATTGCAATCAGGAGCTCCAATATTTTGTGCTAGGCTAAATCTATATATTAATTGTACCGGGATCAGATTTGCAATAGGAATCAGTGATTAGACAAAAAAAACACTATGTAATGGAAATTCCTAGAAATTCCAAGAAATCAACTAGCCTCAAAAAGTCCATCGTCATGCAGAAATTCCCCCAAAATTCCAACCCTTGTTAAGAATACCTCAAGTAAGATTCTTGAGCATTCCTAGGTATTCCAGGCATCGAAATTTGTACAACGTCCAATTCTCAAGAATTCCAAGGAATTCCAAACTTATGCAACTCTGCCTAATTTGCATAGTTTGGAGTTTTATGGGAATATCTGAGAATTTCCAAGGAATACCAAGGAATTCCTAGAAATTCCCAAAAAGCTGAAAATTCATTCGCAAGGGACTGGTTTACGATTGGATCGCGGGTTTAAGCCGGGTTAACTTGTTTCTCCGCTTTTAGGCCTGGCTAAATCTATTTATAACAGTTATTTAACCATACCTATTTTTTTGGAGAATGCTGCTGCAAGAAGGCCGGTTGGTTTTGTTTTCTTTGAGAATTAAAAAAGACAATTTCGGTTAGCGCTTACTAATAGAATAGTCAAAGGTCTTTTCTTTTCACGCTCTATTCTCACATTCATGATAACGACTTCAGCATTATTGAACCGTCTGGATCGTCATACTCATGCTAATTATAATCAACTTCGTTATCATTATCATCATCAGAAACATTTTTATAGTAAACATTATCACTTGGGAAAAACAAAGATTTAAAAAAGCTTCCGTGGATAAATAAATTGTTGTATCTATCTATACGTCTTTCCTGATTACCGTGAGCAGTGCAAGGCTTGTCCTTCTCCACTGAAACGCAGTCTTGTTTGCTGTTTGGCGCAATATCGACCTTGATGGAAAAAAGTATACTGTCGGCGTCAAATGTCACTTAGTGTCGTTAAAAAAGCATTAAGTAATTAAAGAACAATCAAACGATTGATCAATCAGTTAAATGATGGATATATGAGTCAATCAAATAAAAGCAAGCAAGTAAGCAGGTAGTGAGTTAGCAAGAAAACAATCCATACTTACATAAAAATATCTTTTACATAACTTATGTCTTCATCAAAGTAGTAAACAGGTTTGCTTACATATATTAATAGCAACTCCAATATTGTGGCTTTTACAAGTTTTGAACATAGGTAGCCATTAATACTTTCTTTCATTTTCCACCCAGAAGTCATATCAAAACACTGACAAAAAAATAATAATTTCATTCAGATACAACTATTCACTCGTGCAAGCCTTACGTGCCTGGGTTTTCACCATCTCGTCAGACCACAAAATTATCGCAAACACAGACAGACACCACGACTTAAATTAGGTCACGTGGTACGTTTGTATCACGTGATCCACGTTTTGTATAACGTGAGGTATAAAGAGATATCTCTGAAAAGATATCCTGTGGTTCTACAACAAACGAACCAAACTCGACCTAGATGAATGCCAGCGAAAGTAAACGAGTATTCCAGGGCCGGGTTGTTCGAAAGTCGGTTAACGCTAGCACAGGATTAAAAGTTGACCGAGAAATTAATTCTTTTCTGGAATAAAAATGTTTCACTGGTTATATTTTTAGCCGAAGTTTAAGATAACTAAAGTTCAAAACTGAAGGACAACCAATATAAACAGAAAACCTCGCCGAAAAGTTAAAAAACTGAAATTACATTTCTCGCTAATCCTGGGTTAGCTTAATCGGGCATTGAACAACCTGGTCCAGGAGACAAAGAGAAAATGTGGAAAGGTTCTTGAAACCAACAGCAGTACTAGCAAGTAAAAAGGCCAACTGTGTTATTGTAACGAAAGGAAACTGTTTCTTTTCCTAAATAGAACGAAAATGATGAAGAGGTCCATTTAGTTTTTATGAAGCTGAATCAGGTTTCACTGAGCGATGGACGGACTGATTGACTGACTGGCTGACCGACCGACCGACTGATTGACTGATTGACTAACTGACTGATTGACTGACTGACTGATTGACTGACTGATTGACTGACTGATTGACTGACTGATTGACTGACTGACTGATTGTTTGACTGAGTGATTGAATGATTGATTGGTTGAGTGACTGATTGACTGAGTGATTGATTGACAGACAGATTGATTGATTGATTGATTGACGGATTGATTGATTGATTGATTGACTGATTGACTGATTAATTGATTTTAGCAGGGTTGTACCTGTACTGGAAAGTGTGCGACCAATAATTGTTCGTGCAAGAAAGGCTCCTCATCTTGTTCTGAAGAATGTAGTTGTAAAGCGGTGAAGTGCGTCAACCGTCTGCCGGTAATGATTATTCCCCGTTATTCTCCAATTAGTAATTTTTAATTGTAAACTATCGTACATTCTCTATAACCATCCGACAAGCGTATTTCTTTTGCTCAGTTATCCCTTGCTCACTCTCCCTTTTCCTTCCCTCTTTCCTCTCTCCCTCTTCGTCTCTCTATCTTTCTCGTTTGTTGACTTATCTGCCTGCTTCTTTCCTCACAAATCATAGAAATACCCTATAATTACTATTTAACTCCGATCCATTTCCTCTTAGAAACCTCTTCAGGCCGTACCATCTCTGGCTACGATATCAGCAAGCGACTTTGAAAGCGGTGAGTAAAAGTGAAATATAGTGGAATCCCGATTTGTCGAACCCTCTTTTCTTCGAACTTCCCGATAACTCGAACCAAAAGTTGTTTCCCTCTCCTCAGTCAAACGCTGCAATTTTATCCCCGATTTCTCGAGCTATTCGATTTTTCGAACCAATTTTCGTTTCCCTTGGAGATTCGAAAGATCGGGATTCCACTGTAAGTGAAATGTTTGTTCTTTCTTTCTCGTATTTATCTGTAGGTAGATAGGTGGGTATGTAGGTGGGTCGGTAGGTAGGTAGGCAGGCAGGTTTACATATCCTGGTATCGTGCAATTCGTATGGTATGCCATATAGCTTACTGAAATAAATATTTTTTTCCCGTTCAGAACCTTCACCGCGCTCAAATGTGGGAGGTGATGAGCGGAAAGCGTTAATCGAGGTGAAAAACATACCCGTTAAAGAACTAAAGTCCGACAAGAAGAACATGCCATCGTCGATCAGGCAAAACGGAACAGAAAATAAGCTTGTCTCGCGTAAACGCCCTAAAGTCTTCAACAAACCACACTCGAGTAGCTCGGTTTCCTCTTCCGATGAAGACTTGGTCCTGTCGAACCAACGCGGATTCACTCGACCCGGGACTACTTCCGCTCGGTCTTTTCCCGTGCATGGAAGTTCGAAGACGCCTGGATTCAGCTTTGGTTCTGCTAAGAAGGTGATCGTAAAAAAGTCGATGACAAAGTTTCACCCGGAAAACAAGCGAAAACGAAAATTGCTGAAACCTGCCAACACTGCTTCAAGTTTGGGCGTTAAACCTTGATTCGCGACCCTGCAGGGGTAAACTGAGAGAGAACTGTCTAAAAATCATGAACTATTTTGAGTGAGCAAACAAGTCTCTTTGAGCGCTTGAGAAATCTTGGATTCGACCCGAAAAACTCCACATAGCTCTTTGCAGAGAGTTGCATAACATCTTTGTTTGGTTTGCAGTGGCGCGCAAGCTCGCGCAAAGAGAGATATAAGTGCTCTTAGATGATAACAACCCAACCGGATACAATCCACTTATTA